ACAGCGATTCCCAACCTGTGGTACGCGTACCCCTAGGGGTACGCGATAGGTTGTTTAGGGGTACAGAAAAAAGTTAGTTATTATGGCAGAAAAAATAACATATTATGTATCATAAACTAATAGTATTAAAAATTATTAGATAAAAAAATGTTCCTTGCAACAATCACAACTTTATTATACATTTTTTCTTTTAGGTTTTTTTCTTTAATTTAAAGTTACAATATGTAAAATTAACAATACGGTTACTCACTAAATTTCTTAAATGAGGGGTACAAGCTAGAGATATGACATGTCACGGGGTACAATCTAGAGATATGACATGTCACGGGGTACAATCTAGAGATATGACATGTCACGGGGTACAATCTAGAGATATGACATGTCACGGGGTACGCTAATGAAAAAAGGTTGGGAACCACTGGATTAAGTTATAAATCTACTTGCGATTCACGTAATCGGGCGAGGGCGGCCAAATATTTAGCGGGCAAGCGGCTAACAGCCCAGAACCGGTCCTGGATAGAATTGGATGCGGTATACGTGTAGCATCCACCCGAGGTCCTAGGCTAAACCGAATGAGGTTGGTGCTCTGTAAAGCGCATGCGCGAATCTGGCTTTTTGGATGCTGACAATACAGCGTTTCCACTCCGCTACTCCTCCACTAATATTCGAATATACAATAGCAATCTTATCTTTTTTTATCACATGTAGTGTAGAAATTTGTAATAAGATACATAATGCGGTTATAATAAAATATTGTGCGATTATTTTCATATAATTAAAATTAATATGCATTTATTTTTTAGAAAATAGAAGGGAAGCGGCGCATCCACCGCTTCCAATAACGGCACGCCACTGGTATATATTTAGGTATATAGAGCTATATACCTGTATATGATTGGATATATTGGATTACAGGTATACGTAATCCAATACATTATAAAATATATAGTATTTTGAAAAAACATGTTTTAAAATATAAATATATTTTTTAATATAATCAAATTTTTATGATGTATACGTATATTATAATTTAGAAATCTGATAATATTAGGAATTATACTTATATTTAAAATTTATTTTTCCAAAATACTTAAAATATTAAACAATTTATTGTAAGATATTTATTTGTTTTCTTGTCACTCTTATCTTTTCTTATTCGATAATGGTAAGTCTTTTCAGGAACTTTGTATAAGAAGCTCAAAATCTCATGCAGCTTCACACCGAGTAATTATAATAAATAACAACATCGCAAATAGCAGTTTATCAACTGTTCAGAATCTATTTGCTGTGAAATAGGATTTTTTTTTGTATGCCATTTGTTAAGAATATATTAAATGATAATGAGATCTTTTCATAGAAGCTTCCATTACAAATTGGAAATTTTTTTAGCTTTCGTCTATGAAAATGAATGTGATTACGTAGATTTAAATTCAGCGAATTAAGAATAAAAACTATAATTGATATTTATGAAATTTTACCTACGATATATTAAATTAAATAAAGAAATGTGCAATTTTTTTATTGTGAAATGCCAATAAAAAATAAATAACGGTATATTGTATAACTTTAATTAATTTATTTTAAAATAAAAAAACATTTATTAGCTATCGTCTAAATCAGACATTTTCAACGAGGGCGAAAGTTCCGCTTAAGAGGGAGATAAATTATAACGAGTATGTATTTTTTTTTTTCAAATCTCTTAGTAAGTTAGTAAGTGTAAACATTCGTATATAAAAATATACGAGTGTATATTCTAATAAAATTATTCGAAATTTATGTTCCTTCGTCCGCTTAAAATTTAATCTTTTTGCAACTGGTTACAGTACAAGTCGATTCTTTGAAAAATAGCGAAAAGCGGCAATAGTAGAAAAAAGATTGAGAAAGCCTAGTCTAAATTAAATGTATATATAGTATTATACAACGATTTAGAAATTAAATTACTATGGCAGACTTAATATCATATAAATGCAGAAAAACCTAAAGGTATTCCAATTAAGACTATCAAATGACTAACCCGAATTTGTCTTATAACCAAGTCTATTTTAATCATGAGACAAAGTGCAGTTGAGAAAAGAAATTTTTATTCGCTATGCATTTCGGAATGCAGATTTTTCTGCATTTATATATATATATATAAATCTAATGTCGTTTTTATATGGATTATATGGAGTTGAAACGAACTAAATTGCTGGCTAGTCAAACTGAATGAAGATTATTAAGGTTCGCTATAGATTATCCAGAAAAAAATTATAAAATGTAATCCATTCAAAGGGCATAGTTGAACAGTAATTCATTTCATCTTTTAAGCTAAGTTAATTCCAAAAATTGGCTAAGTATATTAGTTATATATAAATATATATATACATTCATAAATAATTTTCATTACAAAAATAAATGTATTGTTTATAAATATCGAGATGATAACTAATAATGAAAATTTTATAGCATTATCTACATAAATATAGGGGAGACCGGGGCAAGATCGGCATGTTAAGCTTTACTTAAATTTTGTGTAATAAATACTGCTATAAACTGAAAAAAAAGCTTCGCATATTGTCTATTGGAATGTTACCTTACTATAGAACTGGTTAAAATCAGTTTGGAAATAAAAATAATTAAAATAATTACAACTTTACGAGAAAAGAGAAATTGACGAAGTTGCCCCGGGTATAGGGGCAAGATCGGCAACTTCTCTCTTTTTGTAAAGTTGTAATTATTTTAATTATTTTTATTTAAGTTGCCCCTGGTATAGGGGCAACAGTAATGGGGCAAGATAGGCACGTATATAAAATTATGTTATTAACAATGTATAAGTTGGAATTCACTATTAAAACAAACAAATACAAATCCAACACCCATTTAATATTATTACAACGAAATGCAAGTTCAAAGACATATATACATGAATAACAAATGCAAACATGTTTTCATTTATCATCTTTTTGATTTTTATCCTTTGCTTCTAATGTGGCTTTATGTTGCCGATCTTACCCCGCTAGTCATGATTTCGAAACATTAAGTACAACCCTGAGAACAGAATGCCAAGCCATGATCTGGCCACGTGAATAAGTTGAAGTTACATCCTTCTAACAGGAAAAGTAACTTTCGTTATCATGGAATTATAACAAAACCTGCCAATTCAATATAAATGGAAAAAAAATATTATATGGAATTCAACGAAAATGAAAATTTGCTTGATAATTCAACTACGCTTGTTGGAGAACAATAAAAACACTACACTCAACAAGCCACGAATAAAACTCAACTGCCTAACCTATAACCAAAGTCTCCTTTTAATTTGTTTTTTAAAAAAAGCGCTTGACAAACTTGCCCCGCATGCCGAAGTTGCCCCGGTCTCCCCTATAATTATAATTATTTAAATATAATCATACATTTAGTATAAACTAATAAAATTATTTTTTATGTTTAAAGGAATAGCCCACTGGGTTAATGTGGAAGTTTAAAAAAAATATTGATTATTTTAAAAGAATATTCATTGTTTTAAACTTCCACATTAAGTTATCAGGAAAGTCTTATTAAATTAATTATTCATTAATTAAAAAAGTGTTGTCAGTATTTTATGAATATTCATAAGATAGTGAAGACATTTTTTCTCTTATAATCATATATTTGTAGCTTAAATATTATGTCTATTGCTAAATATTAATTATTCGAAATAATATATATGAATTTCATTTTTCAAATTGCATAAAAGAGATATTTACCTGAAGATTTTCCAGAAATTGGATTGAATAGAGTTGCCATAGGAAGTTCGGTATCAGATTTTCCCCATTCAGCATTAAATGTATAACAGTTTGTATATTCATAATCATAGAATCTATAAATACTAAAATATTATATTTTTTTTCATATGGTATATACATGTATTAATTTTATATAATTTCTAATTCTTTAAGTTTTAGCTGAAATCTACAGAAAGTACTTACTGTTGAAAGCAATTAAGTCCATCATAGTCACAATAAATAATAAAATCTTGCTTTTGATGACCCAGTTTCATTCGTAAACCTCTTTTGATGTTATAGTAAGTTTTATGTAACATTTTTTCATATTCCTGTTAAATTGTGTTTTAGTTTACAAATTTAATTATGGTTATCATTACTGAAACGCCTACCTCGTCATTTTCTTTTGATGACATTTCACATATTGATCTATTTACTTTGCACCATTCGTTTAATCTAATTCTGCAACAAAAACGATAATCAATGACTATATACATCAATTAGAAAATAAATAAACTATAATTGTATGATAATAATTACTTCCGTACAGCTGTACACACTTTTTGGAATATAACATGTTTTACATATAACTATAGATGTTTAATTTTCTTTAAATTAATAAATAAATATATGATCGAATATACAAATAAGTTATTTTTACACAATTAATATAATAAATGTTTTGAATTTAAAACATAAATCTCAAAAATACGTGGAGAGATCATTTAGAACTTAAAATTAAAATAAATAAACTAAGTTTAATGTTTATGAAATTTATTTATGACCAAACGTATCCGCGTACATATACTATATGTATACATATATGTATAAACATATAGTTATGTATCTATACAAATAACTTATAAACACCAAACTTAGTTTACTGTTATTTTAACTTCTGAATGATATCTTCATATATATTTGTGAAATTATGCTGTAGATTCTTAAATATTTATTATTTCAGTTATTTTAAAATAATTTGTTTAGCATATACAGTAATATCTGTGGTTGTTCATTCAAATACAAACCTCATTTATACTGTTTTATATATTATATATATTTATGTGAATATAAGATAATGTTTTTGAATAAATAAAACAAGTAAATTGAATATTGAAAATATTCATAAGAATTAATTAAAAATATCGATTTTAAATAATTTATTTTTAAAATTTTAACTCAAATCCCTAAAATAAAACATTTCAGAATTGATTTTTCTATCGAAAATATTTTAAAAAAATAAATTTCTGGAAATTCTTAGAATATTAAGAAATTTATTTGTTTAGGCAAAGATTTTTATTTTCAGTTGTTCTTTATCTGTAAATTTACTTTAGTATGTCTTGCAAAGTAGATATTTTATCCAACCGTTTCTTTAATTTTAGTAATATACTTTTAAAAATTCATTTGAATATATTTTTAATATAAAGTAGGTTGGTTATATAATGTGCGATTCACCTTTTAAACCATTGATTTTTATAGGTAATTGGTTAGACTGCGCTTCCATAAATATTTCATGAATAAAGTGATTGTATTTTCAATTTTTATCTTATGAAGGAATAATAATATCTCCTTCAAAATGCGTAATATAGGTTCTTCGATTTTTGCCATCACATTTTTTAGTTAAGTAAGTCTATATAGAATGAATGATTTAAAAAATATGTACTGTATTTAATTTGTAATTAAACTTTAATTTTTTGGGTCTTCTGAAAATAAAATTAGATGTTTAATTCGTTTAATACACTTTTCCCAATGCAATAGAAATGCATTAAAACCAATTTAATAGAAATTAAGAGAATGAGAAGCAAAAAAGTTATAAAAGGTACTTAATAAAAAGTACCTTTTATTAAGTATCTCTTTGAAGATTTTCCTTGCGAAAAACTGTCCAAATATATTTTTAAAAAAGATAATTTCTTGGCAAAGAGTCTGGAGAATAAGGTGGATGAGAAAGAATTTCTTTTGAATACTTCCATTTTTGTCACGAATAATTAAAGAACTGCAGACCTCCAAATGATGCTCCTTATCTCTCTCACTGAGTTCGTATCGTACCCATTTGCAGGGCCGTGTCGTGCTATGATGGATAGATGCGGCCGCATCAGGCGGCACAGTAAGGGGGCGGCATAAGCAGCATTTAAGAGGCAGCATTTCGAAGACTTGCATCATACTGAGAAAATCTACCGCACGGTCCTGCCAATTTGTCGAGCTTCTTGACTTCCCAACATGCTTAGATGTCGAGAAATGGTTGAATTTCCAGTATGTTCAACCTTTCCGCAATTTCCCAGACATTCGGATTCGATGATGTTCTTCAATTCTGAGTTTTGAGATTTGTATTCCCAGAATGAAATTTTTTGAACCGATGCCTGATGACATGCTCACTCACAGAATATTCACCAAAAGTTTTATTGATATTTCGGGTTGCTTCGGCTGCATTATGTCTCTGCTTATACTCATAAAAGAAAATTATTCAATTTTTTTTTTCATGCAGTCAGAAAAAGTACTTTAAAACATGTGGAATTCACAATATAAATGAGATTACATTTTTAAATCCACATATTATGTTTATGCTCTTCCAATTGCAAACATACAGCACTCTTTATATGGAAAAAAGTTGAACTACAAAGATCGGAAAGTTTAAATTAGAAAAACGGCTATTTCATTTGCAACGACTCAATAAATAATTTTTGTTATTGATAGGACATATTTAATATGCCTACATACTTTGCAGAAAAATATTGTTTATAAAACAATAAGTTTAAATAAATAAACAAGATAATTGTTTAATTCGGAATACTTTATTAAAAAGATCTCTGCCTCTCATCATTTCTCAGCTTGTAACTCAATTAGCAAATTAGAACGACATAAAACATTTGAAATTATGAATAAAACATATTCACCAATTTAAAAATTTAAATTATTGTTTTAATATAAGAATTTTTTCTACATATGTTTTATTCTTAATTTCAAATATGTTCTACAACAGAGGAGATTTGATTATCTGTATGTTCTACATCATTCTAATCTGTTAATTAAATTTTGCCACAAAGAGGGTCAGATGTTTGGCCGAAACATTTCTTTTAATGAAGTGTTAGTTACCTGAATTAAACAGTTATTTTATTTAGTAATTTATCAACATGGCGCCAGTTATGTGAACTTTTATAAGTAATGAATTTATCATTTTAATATAACTTTTAATATTTTAAATAACGAAGCATTTAATTCTTTTTAAATCATAAATTAACGAACGTATTAATTAGAACATTAAATTTTATTAAGATAAGAAAAATAATTTGAAAATAATGATGGTTAAACAGGGATGTAATTAATAATTTTCTTTTTATAATTATTAATTAACTATAAATGAAAGAATATGTCAAAGTATTGTAAATATCTTAAAAGTTCAATTTTGAACAAAATCGATTCAAAATGAAAGTTTTCTATTAATTTTCTACGATATTTTCCTTAATGAATAATGCATAAAACTTATTGAATTCCTGAGTGACAAAATTTAATATCAGAGGATTCGAAGAGTATTAAAACAAACAAACAAATTATTATTCATAGTGAAGTATAGTAATCTGATATTTTTAATAATGTTTAGCAAAAATACGTTCGATGCATTAAGGTTATTATAAAATTATAATTATAAAAACGTATCATATATTTAATTCAATATATACAAAAGCAAACATTTGAATATCAATGTTTTATCGATAAATAAGCTATAAAAATGTATTTACAAATAGAAACTTGACAAGATTAATATGTTAACAACATTAAATTTAATCTATAACAAAATCAATGAGCGAGCAATGGTGTGATGTGAACTCGCATATGGTTTACAATTAAGATTTATTCGATCCGTGTTGTTAACAAGTCACTAAATAAACAAATACAAATAATCAATACATCGCATAGTTGTTATAACAAAACTAATTTTATTTTATCGTTCATGTAGCTGTTTTAGAAGTCTCTGGATAAAATTATTTACTAAAGATGTAGAAAATTAGACAACAGATTAAAATACTATACACTACTAACGAAATAGTTACAAACCATAAAATTCAATTTAAGAAATTTAAATTTTAAACTTAAAATTACTAATATTGTGTACCTGGCTGTTTTAGTAAAAGGATTAATAAACCTCTAACAAAGTTACGAATTTGTTTCTCTCTTACAAAATATATAGGCTACAGTAAATTAAGAAAATTAATTAGAATTAAATTTATGATAAGAAATTTCATATAAGTGACTTAAAAACAATTCGAAAAAATTGAAAATATATGAGACAGTTATAATAACTAATCATTTATACTTTAAAATTAATTATTATTCAGATATTATTAACTATAGATTTATCAAAAAGATAAAAAATATGAATTAATATTCTTAAAAGCTTTCATTACCTGTTACTATTGCATATTGTGACCGCTGGAAATTTCAAAGCTGGCAGATGCATCACATTCACTTCTACTGTGGTAGGATATTCTAGATACATCGCCATAAAAGAAAAACTTTGATATAAACAACCTGCAGTAAGACAAAGAAATCCCAGGAGACGATACAATCTGCAAAAACTGTATGAGTTGTCTTGTCTTGACATTTTGACTTTTCCAATCTCACGCGAATTCCACGCTTCCATTGGAAAACTGCGGAATCTGTGACTGTTCTGATACGATGACGTAGCGCAACTTCTGTATGTAGGCTACATGAGAGAAAAAGAAAAACAGATGGCAGTTGATGTTCTATGACGAAAAAGAAAGATCGACTATCTGCTTCGCTCGTCCTTCACGGTTCACTGGCTTTAGAAATTGTTTCTGACTTTACAATTTACTGTTAGAGAGTATAAAAGAGAGTTACCGTAAAAATGTTCAAATCGCTTCTCATTCAAATAAAAACAAACTATTTCACATGCTACATAAAATCGGAGGTTTCCTCGTAAATTTTTGTGTTGCGAATGGCTTTGCTATCTGGAGAGGCGGAAATATTCTCATGGCATAGTGACAGAAATGACTTGATATCATTCAGGAAATTTTTATTATTTTTACCCGTTAAACTGCTTGCTTTTAATGGCCGACCTGTAAGAAACAATAAAGATTGAAATATGAATCGAATTTTTAGTTAGAAATACCTTATAGAATGTTTAGCCGTAAGGAATAGATGTAAGCCTATGTTATTCAATAATTTAAAAAGAATCAGAATCAGAATCAATAGAACGATGATGTGAATCAAAATATAATTTTTGTTCAGATAATTAATAATTAATGTAATGTTTAATCATTAAATATATAGCGGCGTGTTTAATTATTAAACATTACATTAATCATTGATTATTTGAATAAAAATGTATTTTAATTAATTATATTAAAATGATAATAAATAAATAATATTAAAATATTTGATCTGTTTAAATTTATTTACTTATTGAAGTTTTAGAAAATTCTAATTTAGAGAAATAGATAAATACTACAACAAATGTAATTATTATATCTAATAAACTAAAACTTTAAGATATGAGCCTACATTTAATCTTATATTTTAAAACTGTATGGCCTACATGAATTTATGAACGTTAGATACGTTTATATTAATAAATTCGTATTAAAAACTAAACATTAAAGAAGTCGTGAAGTCACATTTTTGCACTGTTTAAAAAATGGTTATAGATCATTCTAAAACAAAATGATGGGTTTATTTATTATTAATTAGTTTGATGAAACATTCGCAGGTTTAATAAATTAAAAAACAGGTACAAATTAAGAGATTAGAGTAACGAAATGTGTTGAAAAAGTGTGTACAGCGCATTAACTTTACCAGTATATCATTATATAAAAGCATGTTATCCTTAGTGGACAGGTTTTTACTCAATACATTCGAAACATTTTAATTTATTTATGATTATATCTTCCTGTTTTTATATTCTTTACTAATTGTAAATGTGTAACCTGATATATTTCTTCAATATTTTCTATAGTAATAGGCCCTAACTGTAAAGAATTTTTATAATTATATGTTTTTTTTTATTTATTATATAGTCTATATTAGTTCTACATTTTTTTCCTTAATTATAACTATCGTCTGAAGTCTTAATAAGAAACATTAATATGAAATAGATTAATTCTTATATTTTAAGTAGGATGTTTTGTTTCTTATTAGTTCGTATTTACTAAATTACAGTATAAAGGCTGGACAATCAACTAGCGTAATTAAATTCACATATTTAAATAGAGACTAGAAAAATATAAGTCGATTGAGTAAAATCCTGGCCATCGTACAAACCTGCCTACTAAGGATAGCATGCTTTTATATAATGATATACCGGTGAAGTTAATGCGCTGTACTGTACGCACTTTCTACTACCTGTCTGAAGCCCTACTAATCGCTTCATTTAACGGGCGCCAGTAAATTATATGCAAACATTTTTTACTAAGTCTGACAAATCACCCATGAAAGATGCAATTTTGCTAAAGGGAAAACCAGATAGAAAATGCCCAAATGTCAGATAAGACTGTCATTATGTAATTTGAATTACTAAACGCTAAAGCCAGAATAAACATCACTTAATTTTTAAGTTCTGAAAATATTTATGAGAACTGAATGTTTAGTTGATTAGACGAATTTGGATTGACTTTGCAAACCTGGCCTGGCTACATGTTAACGAATTGAGTATAAAATCACAAAATCTGTGCCGAAAAAACAGGCACATTTCAAAGGAATTTCGTATGTAAAGACTATTTCTAATAAGTTAATTTCATAAATAAGAAAAAAAAAACTTACGGAACAAGTCAATCCGCGATTTCATTTTAACTTACCAATTTTATTTTGTTTAAAAAATAATTGCTGGAATCAGTTAATTCCGGATATTAATGCTCCTCTTAAACAAATTATTTTTTCAGATTTAAATGCAAGTTACTTTGGAAAAAATAATGCTTTTGTTTCGTCGACTACAAAAGAGCTTAAGTGATTATAAGTTATTCTAGTCTCTTAACAGTTCAGTTAATTACATCTTTTTGCTATAAATTCAGACCTGGTCAAGGTGGCCAGATTTATCGCATACCGGATGAAAACATGGTCAAACTGTTTCTACGCATTATTTCAATGTACTGAGAAATCAAGTGTTCTCAGCGAAATTTACCCGATTCAGAATGAAAATGAAAGTAACATTATTACAGAAATGTGCATAGAGAACGGACGGACGGTTTATACTCGTTTTGATATTGATCGTCAAAAGTCTACGTGGCCAGGTTTTACCTCAGTTTGTTTCTATTCTAGTAATTAAAAGTAATCCAAACAGAACAAATGTAAAGTTAAACAAAATCAATATCTTATCTGAGATAAATATATTCGTTTATAAACTATAACATAAATAAGAAAATGTAAAATTCTAGTTTTTAAATGTTTATTTTATACTCTATTTATGAAGTATAGAGCAAAATAATTCTTTGGATGTTTAAAATAAATAGTGTTAGAAAGAAGAGAGGTAAAGAATAAAGCTGAAAACAGTTTTTTTTTCTTTTTCGAACGTGAATATCCATATGAAAAGTCTGTACTAAAACGCTTTTCAAAAAACTTCCTTAAGTCTATTTTAAATCGTCTTCATTTGTACTTTATTCAATTATGTCGTAATCATTCATAATGATACTTTTAATAATTTTATGAAACTTGAAACTATATAATATATTTTTCACTGTATTTTACGAAGATTTATGAATAAATCCTCATAATATTATGCGCGAATGCATGGAAAAGAGCAATATAAACATAAAAGAAGACAAACGTTGCTTATTTATTTTTTCCTCTTTATTCATGTAACTTACACAAAATATTTTATTTATATTCTATATCCATTATATAAACAAAGTGTATTTTCTGTGACTATGAATCTTATTTTATCTCAGGAATTTCGACAACTACAGTAGTTTCTTCAGAGAATTGAAGAAAATATTATTAACCTGTAGTCACAATAAAAGAAATATACGATCATTGGGAGTTCATCGATATTCATTTCAATAATTCATCAATTGGAATATAAGTTCTCGAGCACTTTGGCGAAGTTCTCATTAAATAATAAATTTTAATTCTTAGAGTCGCGAGTTCTAACTTTCTTTTAACGTATTCACAAAGTAATCAAACGAGCCAATTTTTTTTTTTTAAATTAAGACTATATACATTAAATAATGTGTATGCCATGTGATTTAGTAATTTCATAAGAAATAATTCATGATATGACAATCTCTATTTGGTGTGGCATTTCTGAGATGCTGCTGACAGAAGCAGCTCAGTATAAATTCTTAAAGAAGTTCAATCAATCAAATAATGATCTCTTCAATGTTATTTTAAAGTTTTTCGTAGTTATTCGTATAGAGTCTTCATTGTAACAGACAGATGCAATAATAGACTATATTTCCACAAATTTCAGACAAATTTTTTCATGATTTAATTCCAAAATAAATTTTTCTAGTATTTTCTCTTATCGAAGTATTACTTAATTTATTATTAAACTTGCCTCTTAATAGTAGATTATTACCTTAATTATAATACAATGGTTCATTTATCACGTTTTTAGAAGTTTACTTTTGACAAAATTTACTTATTTTATTAAAGGAATAATTTCAGAACAACATAATTTAGCACAAGAATTATCTCGTAACTTTTATTCGAAGATATTTTTATAAATTTTTATTGTTTACTAATAGTTTTAGACAAAATGAAGTTAATTAATATAAATTATAAAAAAAAATTCATTTTAATCATTTTATTTTAAAAAAGTGTCAAAACAGACAAAAATCTTACTGTATATACGCTTATTTCTTTATTTGTATGAATTTTTTTTTATTTTCATAAAATTTGAATATATAATATAAAATTGTTTTTTGTGAATTTTATATAGAGTTAAATGTGAAAGGTTAACGAGCAGTACAATGACATATGGAAAACAAACATTTTAAAAATAAATTATTATAATCGCTATTTTCAAAAAAATCATTACAAATTTTCTAACGATAAAAGATAATATTATAATAGTTATAAGTATATTTTTTATATTTTATACAGTTTATATAATTTTAATTTGTGATACTTGTTAAACTGATCATGAGTATGATACTAATTATCAAAGCGTCGTATTGTTTCTCTACTTCTCAGGATTTTAAATGTATTTTTATAATCTACAATTATTAAATTGTTAGCCATTCTATGAAATTATATTATTATTGATTGCTTTATAAATTAATTTAAAATCAAAACCGTTATTTTGTCAAAGAATATGATTCATCAATATTAAAACGATTTTGATATAAGTTATATGCTGTAAAATTTTATTCAAAACAATAAAAACTAAGCTTAAATATTTTATATCAAATCTGATAAGTTAGGCAAAAGTGAAGTAAAACTATTCTTATTATTTTGTTTTTATTTGTCAAAAATCATCTCTGCTTGGCATATGTAATTTTAATATCAGATAAGTTTTGCTTTCGATTGAGTGTTCATATTTCCTTAGATGAAACGTAAAATTTTTGAAATGAGATGGCAACTGACAAATTTGAAAAATGGAAACAAATATCAAAAAGCACATATTACACTTTTTTCTTATTTGTTTTTGAA